AATATATATATATATATATATATATATATATATATATATATATATACATACATACATATTTTCGATCAGTCTCGTCAAACGTCACGTGTTTACATTCTCGAATTCTACCGGTACATTTTTCTTTCTTCTTTTTTTTTTTTTCCAACTCGTACAATTCGAGGATATAACGAAAAAGAAGGAAACGTTGTGCGACGAGTACCTTTACATATCTTTATACGATCCCATTTCTATCGCGCCAAAGTGACTGCCTCTACGCGATCAATTTGAAATCAATTTTTGAGGGATTTATAAAACTTGTATTTGTACCCGTTATAGATGTGCATGCCCCCGATGCCAGGCATGGCGGCCATGCCAAACCTTGCAATGCCGATCCATCAATCCGCCGCAATCGATTACGGAAGTTCGTCCATCCACTATCAACCGTACAATCCCGGGTTGAGCGGTCATCACCTTCAGACGGGCCAGTCCGCCTACTGGTACCCGCCGACTGGTCCCACCACGAGCCACAGCCAAATTACGGAGCCGCTCACGCCGCCGGCGTACACGATGACGAGTGTCGCGGGCAGCACGACCCACTCGTGGACGAGCCACTCGACGACCCACCACCAGCTTCCTCAGCCTCAGCTGATCCCGCCGATGCAGCATTACCCGCTGCCGCCGAGCCCTCCCGACCACCTCCCCCCAAGCCCCCAGGACCACCACCACTCCCCCTATCAATGGCCCCTCACGCCGCCCGCCGACCATCACTTCCTGGAGGATCCCTCCGGGAAATCGAGCGGGAGGAAGTGCATAAGATGCCGGTGCCCGAACTGCCAGACGGACAATGGGGGTGGCCAGCTCGGTGTGGACGGGAAGAGGCAACACGTGTGCCACGTGCCGGGATGCGGCAAAGTGTACGGGAAGACCTCTCATTTGAAGGCGCATCTGAGATGGCACACGGGCGAGAGGCCGTTCGTCTGCAACTGGCTGTTCTGCGGCAAGAGGTTCACCAGGAGCGACGAGTTGCAGCGTCATCTTCGTACGCACACGGGGGAGAAGAGGTTCGCCTGCCCCACGTGCGGGAAGAGGTTCATGAGGAGCGACCACTTGACGAAACACGTGAAAACGCACGAGAATCAGAGGAAGAAGAGTAGTTCCGCGGGGGGGGCCAAGAAGGAGTCTGACAAGGAGAACTCGATGCCTGGACCCGCGCAAAATTCTGCGTATCCCTCGGTCGGTGGTGGACAGTACGCTATGATTTAGACGAGGGGAGGGAGGAGGGGGGGAGTTATTGAAATCATTGAAATTCCCCCTTTTCTGAAGTATAGGAGCGAGTATATTCGCGTTTTGTAAATAATTTTATCCGTGAAAAAGTTCCTTCTACTACGTCATACTTGTATTATTAATTACTGTATATAGAAAATTACTGTATATATTTTTGTAAAATATCATTCATATGATTGTATACGAACGAGAGAACGAGAGAGAGAGAGAGAGAGAGAGAGAGAGAGAGAGAGAGAGAGAGAGAGAGAGAGAGAGTAGAGTAGT